TGGGATGTTTTCATTTTGGGTAGAAGCTCTGACCCACTATTTACACCCCTGTCCCAATCTCTCCCACATCTCTTTAAATGACTACTTTTCAGATGTTATCTGCGTGGAGACTAGCCAGATTTATGGGCAGGATCCTACTCAACTCTACGCCAAACTAGTTTTTGGCCTCACTGGAAATAGGATTATGTCTGAGACTTGGAAGAGGAAAAAAAAAAAAACTTCTTTCTTGCCAGAAATGGTCATGCAGAATTTTTACAATGCTGTTTATTTTTTTGTTAGCACTACTGTAGAATATCAGGCTATTCATTGCTAGCATAATAGCACTTAAACAGACTGGTAGAATAGACTACACATGGCTGTAGTCCATAGTGAAACTGCATGCAAATGAAGAGAGGCAACCAGTTCACTTGTAGCCCCAGCACGGTGCAGTTTTCCAGTTCTAACAAGTGTTTGTACAAGGTAAGGTCAATAACGCATTCTGTATGAATTGTGCAAATGTTGTTTCCAACTCTAAAGAGGAGTTAAAAATTTAGGAAATTTCTAAGATTTATTACTGTTAAATACACAGTCTGATGTTATATTTGTGCACTGCCCATCACACTCAATAAAAACAGTTTCCAAAATGAAATTTGGAGGGTAAATGCTGTATTTTCCTTTGCCAGCGTACTTTTCTTCTCCCACTTACTTAACACAAAATAGGCAGAAATAAAATCTTTATAAGACTTTCTGTATTCGAATGTATCACCACTTTAATTTCCTCCTAGTTTTTTCAAATACTCACTTCCATGACTTTAAAACTGTCCAAAATGAGAAAATTTTACCTTTTTGTTTCTATAAAGACTCTTATAGTAAAGATGGTAGCATGCGTATTTCTATACATAATATACATTTACAATATAATTCCATATGTCAGTGTAGCCTCTAAAAATCTGACCCTTATGACTAACTTGAAGTATTCTGCTATAGTTATTATATACATTATAGAGAAAGAAAGAAAAAAAAGAATAAAAGTATAAAAAAAAAAGTTGTACACAGAGTTGTACCCAGAATGGAAAATGAATGTGAAAAATAGATGATGTGAGGTATCCTTTTGACGAAGATAGGTGACAGGTAAGACTTCCATGGTTGTACCACACTGGATATTGAAAAATAGATTGCCCCATGTTGTAAAGATCTGGAGCAAGACACATTTTTGTGGTCTGTTTCCCTTTCTGAAGCAGGCATCAAAAATCTTCTTGTAACAAACAAACAAACAAACGGTAATAAAAGGCTTAGTGCACCAAGAACGAGAAATACCATGTTTTCAAAGTGGCATACCCATAACCTAGGCAACTCATCTAAAAGTCTATCTGTGCTTCATCCCACAAAGCAGCTGTGTATAAGAATAAAGTTAGGAGTAGACAACCTCTAGTAATACAGTCATCAAGAAAGGAAAAAAACAAATCTTGTTTTTGAAATCATTTTGAATAGAACAACGTTTTTTGCTTTTGAAAGTGCTTTTTGAGCAGTCACAGCAATGTAGAACTAGGTGGGCATATACAGCATTCATACTATCCACATACAACCCTGCAAACTACGTTATGAACTCAGTGAACACATTAAGCATGAAACTAAAGTGTGAATAAGACTGATTTTTGCAGCAGTGACAATGATCTTACAACCCACTGAAAGGAACTGCTTTAGCATGAGAGGCTGGACTCTATGATCCCCAGAGGTCCCTTCCAACCCCCATGGTTCTGTGATTCTGCTACTGACCAGAAATTATCTGAGCCCCTAATGGTTCCAGTAATGTATTTTCTAGCCAGAAATGCTTTCATACAAAAGATAACGGTAATGGTTTATTATTTTTTAAAAAACATCCTTTGTTTTTCTTATTTAAAATAATTTTCACAAAAGCAGCAAGCTAAGGGGGTACAAGAAAGTGCAAACAGTCAGCCAAATCACCGACCAGAGAAATGTTTTCAGCTTTAAAGTGAGAAATGCACACAAAAATGTTTTAGAGCTTTTTAACCAGCATCTGTTTCTAAACCTCTATCCGGGCAGCTCGCACTCTCACCTGCCTAGGCTGCAGGCATTGCCCCTTCCATAGAGTGTGCTCCTGGGGTGCTATGGGAAGCGCAGTCAGCCGGCACACTGCACCCATGGAATGCAGAGCAGCAGCGCTACGCGACAGTTTTCAAGTTTCGAGCCAATATTTTTCACCACTCCCATATGACACGAGGAACATAAACACAGCCTTGCGAACCATCACACACACCGCGGCTACAGCCAACGCGGGCAAACAAGCACAGTGGGGCACTGGTTGTCCTTTTTTAAGCACAACGGCTGTGTTCGCATTCAGCAGGCAAGCTCAAGCCTGCGTTATCCAAAGTTCTCACTCTAAAAGTAGTCTGCAATCGCATACCAGACTGTTACAAAACAAAACCAAACCAAAACACCTCTCCGTCTGCGGAGATCTCAGTGAGTACAAGCACAACCAGGGGTACAAGCTGGCTGCAGGGCCATGATCTCCTGGGCCAGAGCAGCCCCTCAATAACACTTCTGCAGCAGTGGTGCGAAGATCAGGGAACAGTCAACGCCCTGGAAGTACTGCCTGCCTCAAACTGGGCTGTGCACCAGCACTGCATGCTGCAAATCAAATGCGTCTATGTTAGCAACAGATCGGCCCAACAGGAACACATGGAATACAAGTGTGGGAGACTTTGTACCAATGCTAAATGCATTTTGTAGGGTTTTACTTCAGGCTAGCACTGGTCTAGTCCCACAGACGGAATTTCCAACAGTGACTCAAGACTCTAGCACATCTTCCAGTTTAGATTCATCCTAAAGGAATCCAGCTGGCCCACCATGAGGTATATGGAGATGGACAGTAAGTGGGAACAACTGGGAGACTGGCGTCAAAGAGCCCTCCTGATAGGAACCACAATCCTAATATAAATGCACAGCCACGCCTATCAGCATCTGGGAGAGTGAAGGGAAAGAACTCAGTGTGCAGCGCTTGAGAGGCTCTTCGGGTGTCAGGAAATCTGCACAGTGACTTCAGCAACTCAGCATGACTGCTCTACATGCAGCGCCGCTAAATTTACATTGAAACCATTCTAATGCAAGCATCCAATCATGGTACATTGGGATTTGTCTTCTACCACGTTTATCAAGAAAATCGCAGCAGGACAAAGCTATTTGTTACCAAAGGGATTGATCTGCATATCCTTGATTTACACTCACATAAGCATTGACAAACGATGACCGAAACCCATCAATTTCCGAAGGACAGGGTATACCTGCATAGTTCAGCTGGCAATTCAGACTGTTTTTTGCCATCACCTGATACTATGGAAAGAAACAAAATTCCCCTCAGATTAATTCTTCACCTTCCCACGCCTTTGTTCTATTCCACACTGTAGGAGTGTCTCGTGAAAGCACAGTCTATTCAAGAGACAAACAAAAAGCAAATAGATCAGCTAGACCAGCCGCTCAACATCCAGAGATAGAGGCGTTCATTTTGGTGCCACCCTTTCAGAGCCCCTCTGATGCTGCTCACTGGCCTTATACTACTCCTGGTCCTGCTCAGATGCTGAGCAACCCTCACTGCTATGGGCACGCTTCCTTCAGGCACAGAGCTCTGTGTGTGCACAGGAGGTGCAAAAAGCAAAATGCCACAGCCAGACTGTCCTTCCTTCCACAACGCATTGAGCAAACAGGTCCATCCTCTGCAGCTTTACAGTGATCACACACAGCTCTTCAGAACTTAGGACTTCACTTCTTGGATGATGGCAGTGCGTTGCAGACTGTGCGACAAAACTGAGGAAAGGTGCTTTGCTCAGAGCCTGCACACCAAGACAGAACACTGATTCTTGGCAGAAACCAGACTGCCTCTATTACATTATTTTGTCAAGGCTCTGCTTTCTAATCCTAGAATATTAACGTTCCTCCTTAGCATTTGGAAAGGCCAGCCTGAAAGTTATGCACCAAAGTTACCAAGTGAAGCATCTGCATAAGAAAAATCTCTCAGGCACGCATTTCAGGTGACACACATTTCTTGGAGTTTACACAACAGATTTATCTCCTGACAGCAGTGTCTGCATTGCATCAGTGCTGGTGGGCAGCAAGGACTCTGTGCTCACGCTCGTTTCTCTCTGCTTTAGCACTAAGCAGCCCAGAAGCAGCCTCAGCACCGGCATGACCCAGGGCTGTGGGCAGGCAAGTCCTGCACCTGTTGCCTGGGGACTCCTGCAGGATTTTGAACTGGGGTTGTCCTTGGGGAGCGTCTGCCTCAGTCACTGCTAAGACCGATGCCCACCTGATGGCACTCATTGGGCTCTCATCCAATTCATTTTGCCTCTTTTGTAAAAGGAGAGGTTAAACTTGTTATGGGCTGTTAATTTCATCCTCAAAAACTCCACCAAAGTTATATAATCCCTTTCACAATAGTGTGCTAAAAATAAGAGTCGTTCAGCCAAATGCCAGTGCAATTTTTTTATGGGACCTGTGACTCCAATTCTGCAAGAGCGCTTATTTCCTTAGCTCTTGCAGAAAGTCAAGCATGGTATGATGATAACCATCATCTGCAGGATGAGAAAGTGGCTTCCATGTATTTTCACCCTCCCATGCATTTTCAACTCCTGACTTAAAGCAGTGCTGGATCAGATCCCTCGGAGGGAGGGGGGGGTTCATAATCGCAAACCATCATTAACCCAAAGCAAAGAAAGAAAGGTACAAAGGGGCACAGCTCTCACGCACGCACGCGCTGCCATACTCCCGGCCCGGGGGGCTCCGGCGCTGCAGGTACCTGGGGCAGCCAAGGGAGCCGCCTCTAGGGTTGCTGTGCGCGGAGCCGCCCCGCGGGCGGGCAGCTCCCTCCGGGACGCGGCGCTGCCGACGCCGCCGCCGCCGCGCGGAGACGCGCTGTCAGCTCTCGGGGCCCTGCGCCCTGCCCTACAGCCGGCACAGGGAGAGAAGGGAAGGAGGAAAGCGAGCGGCCGCCACCGGTCACCCCGTACCTGCGGTGAGGCGAGGAAGGCTCCGCAGCGCGCTCCGTCCTGCCGGCTATAGGTCCAAAGGCGGGGTGGAGCGGGGTCGCGGTCCTCGCCCGCTGGCGGTGGTGCGAAGTCCTCGCTCTCTGCAGATGCCCATAGGCGCCCGGTGGGAGAGCGCGGTGCTGGGAGAGAGCGAGGCGGCTCGGCCGGGTCCCGGCTGCGGAGGGGAGCTCGGCACTGACTCCTCTCAGCCGCTGCCCGAGAAGAGGATCAAGCCCCAGCTTTCGATTGGCTCCGGTGGCCAAACAGCTCGCACCAGCCTCCTGCCCGCCCGCCGCCCGCCTCCCCGCGCCGCAGCCGCACACGCTCCGCTCCCGCCGCTCCTCTCCCGCTGTCGGACGCAGGCCCGGCCTTCTCACCCCCTTCGCCCCACCAGGACGCCCGGTCCCGGAGCTATTGTTCAGGCGAGGACGTTCTCGCGTCCCGGGTCCGACGGAAAACACTCGTTCCGTCCGCTGGCTGAAGGACCTGAAGCTTTAAGCGTTTGTGACACTCTGTGTCACGCTCAATATTCAGCCACGTTTGTTCTCAGAACGTTTTCTCAAATGTCCCTGGCTAGTCAAATTAAAAGCATGCAGAGCCTGATCACCTGAGGGCTGAATCGGATGTGGGACAAAGCATTCTTTGCCTCAGTTCAGTTTGCTTTTCTTACACTGTTTGGGTTCCTTGCTCCTTTCTTGGTTAAATCCACATCAAGTCACAGCGTGCACAGCAAATAGAACTAGGATGCTCAGCCTCCTCTTCCCACATCTACAGTTACTAAATCATAGCAACTCTGACTGTCATTTCTCGGTGCATCTGGGCTGCTGGTGTTCTATTTGCTTGGGCTGACTTCAGTGGCTTCTAAAAAAAGGAGTTTCTCTCACAGACATGCAGCTGTGTGAAGCCAAATCAGACCTGTCTTCTGGGGGAAACAGCAGTCCCTTGGTTGCAGCGTGACCCTCTGTTTAAACAAGAAGACGGCTCAATGGGATAAATGGGCCCTTTGGGTTTTCTCGGCACAAGAAGATGTTGTAATCTTTCCAGTAAACGTGTTGGCAAAATTGCTTATTAAAAATCAGGAAGAACAAAAATTATCAGTTGTAACAGATGTGCTCATAATTAATGTAATGATCTGCATCTGAGAGGTGCTGTTAAGTAGTGTTGGTATATCAGGTGCCCTCAAAAGTCAGCATTTATTCACATTTAGTGTTGTGGCATTTGAAACACAGAGGATGGAGTTGCTGAGATACTCCTGCATTGCAGCATATATATGTTTTTAAATGGTAACTTCCCCAACATTTCAAGTAGATTCTGTGGATTTGGGCTATTTTTTTGTTGGTTGCTTTGGGGTGTTTTGTTTCTTTTTTTTCATAAGGTTGGCTCCTATTTCTCCCTCTCTAGAAAAAGTGCGCATGCAGATCTAGTTAACAAAATGGTTTTGTTTATTTTTTTTTCAGGGAGAAGTCAGAAAAATAAGAACAGAAATATTGAGAAATATATGAAAACAAAGATATTTAGAAATATCCGTACTTGTGGTATAGTCATTCCTTATGTTACCAGCTCTGGTAGTGGAAACGTCCCTCAGTGAATTCAGTGGTTCTATACCTCTGGAACATGAGAGTAACAAAATGAATAAATAAATTTAATGTTTCTTTATTACTATATGTGCTTCCTTCATATATTTCCTATTTATTTTTTGCTGAGATAAATGAAATTGCTGGCTTAGAGACCACATAACAACCCTTGGCCCAGTGGGTTCAGCCCCAGCTGCCACAGCAGCTCCCTGACCCCACCAACACCTCCACAGTAGGCACGTTTCTTCCTGCATCTTCTTGACCCATTCTCCTGCCTTATTTTCCATCAGAATTTCCCATGTCAAAAAGTGATTCCTACTTTCACACTGTCTCTTTTCTTGGAAGAGTCCTATATGTAATATAGAATTGCTGCTTCCCATAGCCCATTCTCAACGTTGCATTTGTCTCCTTCTTTTTCAGTTCAGATTCCTTTGCAGCACTGATTAGGTTTCCCTCCAGTCTTGTTCAATTTAATAGCTTTTAACCTGTCTGTTTTATTTATGTCTGCTTAAGTGCTTATTTAATCTTTTCCTTTATAACTATAATGACCTTCCACAGGTTACTATAATCCTAGAAGGTATGTGGAGAATTTAAAGATTTAAAAGTCGTTTGACTTCATAAATAATTTTTATTTTCTCATTATGTGCCTTATTTCTAAAACAGGGATTTTTCTATTACAATCAGCATTTGTTTCTCACAAATATTCCTTCTGCATATCTTGTAGTAGGGCTTGGTGAGAAATTCTGGTTACAAAACAGCTTTATTTATTTATTTTTTATATACGTACAATTTTGATAATGGGAATTACAAGAGGTGTTGATCTGTCATTGGAAATATGTAACACATTTGTTCTCTGCCACAATTTTATGCCATAATTTTACACTGTAAAAAGTATTTTAGTTTATGTGCAGGTTTAATTTTTAAAATGTTGTTATTACTGCATCTTTCCTACAGCCTCATGTCTGTTGCATGCCCTGCTTAAGCAAATTAACCAAAATTTTAACAGCCCCTGCCAATTACACATGCTGTTGAAGCATATATCTATTTTTATTCTATGTATTTCTGGATGGTCTTTCCTTCTGATGTGGCCATTCTTCAGAAATGGCTATTATCCATATCTTTGGTCTCATGTTGAGACAAAACACAAGCAACCAGTGCCCATCTCCTTCACAGCAAGGACTATATCTCTGTCACCATCATGATAGAAACACTGTTCTGCTTTGCAGCACTGAGCACCATGATCTGTGACAGTGTGTGGCCAGAGCACCTGGAGAAATAGTAGCAGCGTCCCAGGGCCATGGAAGTCCTGGGAAGTGGGAGCAGCCCATCACACCCCAACCTCCTCCTGTCCCCAAGTAAGATTCACAGTTTTCTTAGATGGAAAAAAAAGCCTGAGTGTTCTGTTAACGTCATTACACCCATTTTCCCTGCGCTGACCAGATAACCTTGTTGTATGCTAGAGGTTCAGCACATGCCGTCCTCTCTCAGGCCCTGCAGCCAAGCGCTGTAGCCAGGAACTGAGAGGTCAGTATCCTGGGAAGCCTGACTACCTGAGATTTGGGCACAGAAGGAGATCTCGCTAACTGCTTTCATTACGTGGTGTCCCATTTGGTCCTGAAGAAGCTTCTTGGCTAACCTGCTTTATCTCTTTGTAGACTTAGGTCATCTTTGTCTAAGTCTTTACCTTTTACTGCAAGCTCTTTCATTTCCTGACCTTGCTTTTGATTTGCTCGTTGGTTTGGGGTAGCCCTGATTTCTCCATTTTTCTGAGTACACTTTCCATCTGGAGCCTTGGGCTGGTCTGTCCTTGGGGCTGACTCCTGATCTTGAGTTTCCTCAGGCTCAGTGACTGATCCCACCCCAACTACAGTCACCACGTGAAAGTATTCCCACTTGTGGCTCCTTAACAGTACCCACTTATATCCACCTTACTCAATGGAAATGATATTGTGTGATATCACAGTACTGACGCAGAGAATTTAGCTCATATCTTATCTGCATGATAATTCAGCACCTCTGTAAGAGACTGTAGCAGTGGTATTGGGTAAAGGTTTAGGAGAATCTATGAGAGCACATGAGAATATCATGTCCCCTTAGGACAAATCACACTTGTCAAGATCTTCAACAGCTCATACTGTTTTCATAGACAATTAGGCACCTAAATGCCTTGGACATAGTGCACCTGTTTTTTAATTTGGAGTTCTTTCTGACATTGTGGATTCAAGCCAGGAAAGCACTCTAAGCAGCAGTAATTTGAATTCTTTTTTTTTTTTTTCTTCCCACTACTTTATCTCTGCTGTGTAAAACAATTCTAAAGTACATATCTAGCTGAGTCAGTGCAGTATCCTATCACTGGACACGAGTAAATACTTCACCCAACCGCCAGTAATAAAATTCATTAAAGTGAATAAAACTGTTTTTGTCAAAAATGCCTTATTTGTATTTCACAGCAAACATGAATGAAACTTTCACAGTCTAGCCTGATTCCAGCTTCAAACAAAAATTACTCTGTTTACTCTTTGGAAGGAAAAGAAAGAGCTAACACATTTCACTACCTTTATCTTCTACCACTTCATTTCCAGCAAAATTTCATTCAAGTCAAATTCCATCCAGATGCCCAGAGCCCACCTCTATGCTCCAGGAACTTGTGCTCTGGGTAGCACATCTCTGGCTATTCTTCAGAGGCTCACATACTCACGTACCAAATAATTAATAATTTTTAAAGAGTCCTAGCAGAGGCCTAAAATAAATAAAATTTTCCTTGACCAGAATGTTTTCTAGCATGGGGGTGATTTCTTCTAACCCCAATGAAGGTTCAATGATACATGCTACCAAATTGTTTTGGGAAGATCATGGTAGGAAATGGAGTAACAAGTGAGGAACAGAAAAAAATCTAAGGGGATGAAGAGTTGTGAGATGTCAATGCTGTCATTCTATTTTTAGACAGAATGGGTCTGTAAACATTCACTGTTCCTTTCCTTTAATGTACTCAAGGTAGACCAAAATATACTTTTCATCACTAATTTTAAAGCTATGATTTCTTAAGTCATGAAAATTTTACAAAACCTTTGATGTCTCAGAAAGAGTCTGAGAGCCCTGAGCCACCCACAACCCTTTGAAAATTGCTCACTGAAAGCAGTGATCTCATGTGTCCGAGCATTATAAGTGTATGGATGTATATTTTCTGTCTCACAGTCTAAGACCTAGACTAGGATTTTTGCTTGGATGTACCTTCAGAGTCATCCCTCATCTCCAGACTAACCTTAGACATTCATTTTTTAACCTGTTTTGATGATGCTCTTTCTGTTTAAGAGAAGATGATCCTGCCTAAATCCCAGAGGAGGTAAATGAATGAGGGGACTTACGCACTCCACCTCTGTTTTCTCTTATTGGATGGAGAGAATGTCAAGCCAAGGAAGAGAGAGAAATGGCACAGCACAGAAATACATTTGGGATGAGTTCTCTTCCTTCTTCACTGTCATAAGAGACTGTGAGGACATCTGGATCTCTTGGGAACATCACTAAATAGGACCAGATAACCTCAAAATATTAGAGCCAGACCAGCTCTGTCATGTATGATTCTCTTGCTGTATAACGACTAATAAAGGCAGTATGTGTGGAACAAGGAAAGCAGCCAATATAGCTTCTTCCAAGAACTGTG